GTGAATACATAAGTATGCACCATATTCGGTAATTGCCATTTTACCCGTCGAATCTACTTAAGTGTCTTTGTACAGTAACGAGCCATGGAGAAAAATAATATTGGGAGTTGGCTACGAAATTAAGATTATTTTGGTTGGTGCTTTAGCCACTTGCCATTTGTACTTTATAATACAACAGAGCAAGAAGCAAACATTATCAAATTTTACTTCTGTACAGGTGTGAAACTAAATGACGACATAATTTTATGTAAATTTTGATTGATTTCGAAATTAAGGGTGAGATTACAGAACGTCTGCAACTTTGCAGATCTGCAAATATGGCGGACTTACAAAGTATTTTAAAAAATATCTGCAAATTCGCAATATTTATTGTGGTTTATTACCCCCAACAACACTAAACCCAAATTTGGAATACGACAACTTGATACTTACATGTGTAAGTCAGTCATATTTGTAGATTTTCAAAGTTGCCGCCATATTTGCAGATCTGCAAAGTTGCAGACGTTCTGTAATCTCACCCTAAATGAATTATTTGTTTCTTTTTTCGGTCACAGAGTAGATGAACAAACGTCGTGCGGGCCAACTACTTCCAAAAGTCATCGCGAGATGGCGCCACCAGTCGGTGTTGAGAAACGAAACTAGGATAAGTAGTTTGCGACTTGGCTAAGCGATCCAGTAAGGCGGTCATCGTTAACGATGTAAACGAGGTAAACGAAAAAAGGCTGTACGTTATTTGAAACCTGTTTATTTTCTGCCTGTAAATTACTGCTTTGGACCTAGCAGACGTGGCAGACTTGTTTGTGACAAACATCTAGTAAATCGACAGTGAGGTTAAAATTCGCAATATAGTGAGCAGAGCCCCAGCGCTCCGGCAAATCGTTTTAGTTCGGCGTGCAGAGGCGAAAAAATCGCAGTGTACATACGTCAACGCAGCTGAGGGCTCCAAAACTTCGTGAAGCCGTACCGATACCGCGATATCACCGTGCAGTGACGCAAACAAAACCATACACAAGTGCGCGTAAACTTATATAGAGTGTTTGCTATTTTGAACTAAATGGTCAACAAAATTAACACAATAACTCAAGTGCCACCTTCGAATAAAATTTCGAACTATAATACCAGTGAAGTGATCCGCGATATCCGTCATCCTTTCTCGGGGTTCCGTGACGGGTAAGTGGAGACCTACACGAGTTCTAGGGCTGGTTCTTGCACGGCAGGAATCAGCCTTTTAGCGTTCTACAAATTTTCTTATTTTGTGAAAACAACGGTGAAAACACAATGGCGGAAGGCATCTCGAACGAAGAATTGGACGTCAAAACGGATGACCTGGACAAGTCCATGCAAATAGCAGAAAATAAAATAATAGAAACTGGGAAAGTAAGTAGAAAGTGACCCGTAAACAGATCGCCATCGAAAAGCGGTACTACGGGCCGGTGACACTCGCTGGCATCGGAGTCGCCGGGAAAATACGAGACAGTAGAAATCTTCGAGGTATCAACTAAACGGAAAAGAGTTGGTCAGCTCCTTAGCGACACAGTCAAGAAAAGAGACTTGAAACAAGTAGCGGTGGACTTTCAGGAAGGTTTAAACGAAATAAACGTAAATCTAACCAAACAAAAAGAAGAGGAATAAAAATGGAAGAATATGAACCCATTGAGAAAGAAAACAAAGCAAAAGAGGAACAAAAAAGAAAATTAGCAGATTAAAAAAGATCGGAAAAAGAAATTCGGGTCAAAAATCTAGTAAAACCGAAAGTGCGGCCCATAGTGCGGCTACCAGTGTGGGTACAAGTGTAATAAAAACCCAGGTGAGTGGAGATCCAGACAAACGAAACAAGGACCAAACACGCGTAGAGACAAACCCACAAATACTCATACAACAGACCACCACTAACATGAAAGACCTAAAACAACAAATCAAAGATGCAGTGACAAGGACAACACCGGAGGGAAGAGGACAGATTGCTTTCTCTCAAAGAGAACAATCAAAAAACTGTAATTTCAGCAGTAGATCGCATATCTAACATGTACACAGATGACATACTGACATTATTAGTAATACAAAAGACAGAAATATACAAACTACAACGGGAAAACTGCGAATTAAAAAGTAACGGAACAAATACACAAACTACACCTACAGCAGATACAGACAACAAACTCAGACAAGTACAAAAAGAAATCACAAACTATAAGAAAAACACTACCGCTGCTCCCTCAACACCCATAATGATACAAAACACAGACTTTCCAACACTAGGACAATGAACATACACCCAACTGGCAAAAAATATTAACAAATACGGACAATAATGAAGACAGGAAACAATGGACAACACCAGAACCATAAAAACGTTTCGACACGGTAATAAAAATAAAAGAAGGACAACAAAGCAATACACTGACAAAGAAGCCAGCCATTTTACACAAAAAACGCCACAAGATAGACACGGCAATATATATATACAGACGTCAGTATTAGAGGAAAATTTCAAAACTGTAGCGATAACAATACACAACGACTACAACTACACAGACATCAAGACAAAATAAACACAGACAAAGACATCAACACATTAGAACTACTGGGTATAGCACAAACATTAAAATACATAATAAACAACAACGCTACTTACAGGACAAGAAATTTAAAAATATATACTGACTCGATTAACACGATAGACAAACTCAAAAAATGGTAACGCAGATCCAAAAAAAACACACAAATATCGACAAAATATAAACACTAACTTTGGACACGTCAATCAAACGACTGCAGGCATAAAAAGAGCCTACCGACTAGCCAGTGATTCTCACGAACAACCGACAGAGACAATACAATACAGCGACAAAACAGTAATAGGGAAAAAAGACACAAGACAAGACATTATTTACGACTACACTAGGGACCAAAGACAAGCAGCCAGATCAACACTTAGACGAAAATCCGGTTCGAAGGACCATGTTGCTCGAAGGACCATAAATTAGATTTCAAAGATAATTGTTGTAATTAATACCACAAGATGGTTTTCATGAATCTCATTTCAGAGATAATTTTGTAAAGTAAAATACCACATGTTCTTAGTCAATCTGTTTATTTTTCGTTTTGCATTTACATTTATATTATCACAGAATAAACAATATACAATAACAATTAATATTATTTAATTATTTAAATGTACATTAGAAAAATATTTTTATTCCAATCTCAGTCTCTCTAGTTCAATGTTTTGAAAATAATTTTGAAATAAGTCAGCATTTTTATTATTATAATTTACACATCGAACTAGATACGAAATTGGAACGTGTTTATTATTAATTGCATATGAAATTAAACATTTTAACTCAATAAATAATTAATTTCATATACAGGATGTTAATTTAATTGGTGAATTTAAAGAAAAATGTTCAAATCTGAACACTTAACGAGAAAGAACTTTACTTTGGTTATACCTAACGAGGCAGTGCGAAAAAGTTATATATTTTTTAATAACATTTTTTATTATTTGAAACGCTTTCACTAACAAGGTAGTGAAAATGAATCTTTTTGTTTTCTTTCTAAAGAGGCAAATTAAACTATTTGATTTAAATATATCGGGTAAACTTTATTTTTTTATGAGAAAGTCATATACCACCTGACATAGACTTTATGGACAACGCTCTGGTCAGCTGGGTTAACGAATGGGCGGACAAAATACTAGACCACGACGACCCGGGGAATGACAAACTGGAAAAATGTTCCGTTTTCAGGCTCTTCAGCTCAAACAGAATCCTGCGCGATTCAAATACCATAACCATTGCAAAAATGTTGTACATGTTAACCATTTTATTTCTTTTTCTTTTAACCAATGTAATTTAATTTAATTTTGTATTTTTGGAGTTTGTATTTTTGGAGTTTGTATTTTTGGAATTTGTATTTTTGGAGTTTGTATTTATAAATAAAATAAACATAAGGATTCGGCCCCCGCTAATTTTTAGGAGTGCGGAGTTGGGATGGGTTCACTTGATCGCGGTTTTGGCTAGTAAGCGGGTAATGTCTGCCCGATGCCTAACGGTGTCTCTGTCTGTAAATTACTCCTACTTAGACTCCTTTCCTTTCCTATTTTATACCAATTAACAACTTTGGAAGTATCTGTTTCTGTTGCTAACCCAATATCTTATAGAATACTTGCGGCAGCTACTCCGTAGCAATGCAATGGCGTAGTTTTAAGCTTGATCCTCATTTGCCATGGTGACTTATTTAATGAGGTGCTAGGCTTGTACTATTCAAAATCACTCTCGTAAATCAGCTAACTGCCTGTCGTGTTTGGACTGATGGATGCACCTTTACCGCTAGTGGGCTGGCGGATATATCTGTATATTCAATAGCATTGCTTATTTTATAACGTTTTTCTGACGTCATTGTGTGAAAGTTAACATACTGTATATATTATTTGAACTTTTTTGGTATAGTGCCAGTATTAAAAATTAAATTATGTGTTTTAGTGGTATAAATGTACAAGTTTTAAATTTTTTACCGTTATGCCCTCTAACCCTGGAAAACTTGTATTTTTTTGCTATATATATGTTTAATATAATTTTACGAACCGGTTAAGAAAATTGATTTGTTTATCACATTAGTGGTAAATTTCAAACATTTCGATACCATTTAAACTTTTTTATTTTGTTTATTAACAATATGTAATTGTTTATTTAGGTTTTTCGTTAGTCTCTTCAGCAATTTATATGTTTTTTCAAGTGATGTTTAATATTGTCTATTTCTTTTTTATAATAATCATTTTTAGTTTTTGTTATTTGTTTATGTAAATTATTTCTAAACACTTTATATTCGTTCTCTTTTTCAATAGAATATTTTTTTAATTTTTTAACTTCTTTTTAAGTTCGTCCCTCAATTTTATTCTTTTTCTATGCTTTTTATAGTTTACTAACTTTCTATAAAACACCCCTTTTAAACAAATAGATTCCTATATACTACAAAAAATCCAATAGAGCTACACTTACCTTCCAATTGGCGCACGGAATTAGCAGTGCCATCACGAATACTCCGAGCAGAGGCCCCGAAGTGGCCGAAGTGACCAACATGGAGGATTCTATGACGCCATCCAACAGACCGACTCCGAAACTGATTCCCATGATGACCAGCCCATAAACGACCCCGATGAATTTGATGGCCCACAGTTGTCGGGAGTCCTTCAGATTACTGAATATGGGAATCGGACGGATGAAGTCCTCGAAGGTCACCGTCGCTAGGGAGTTGAGATTCGACACGTTCAAGCTGCAAAAGGAGTAAAGTAGGTTTGAGTGCTTGTGAATGGGTAATGTAAATATATGGACGCTAAAGGTGATTGTAGGATGTACTTTTTCTATTTTTAGGCGAAAAGAAATCGATGTTTTACATTTTATTTACGAAATACCAAATGATGATCCTATATTAAAAAATAAAAAAAATACAAAGTTAATAACAACAATTATATTATAACTAAAACCGGAGAGAAGCTAAACTCAAGATTAGTGTGCATCCACGTTCTCGCAATAGCTAAACAATGAGCTTCGTATCATGTATTCGGGAAAATCAACCCAGCAGATATTCCCTCATATTCCCTCTAGAGTCTAGATGATGTCTGCCGAAAAATTGGATTTCGAGTGGTGAGAGAGACCTGCGTGGATTAAGCAACCTCTCAAAGATTGGCCTGATAAACATTTTATCACTGAGGAAGACATGATCAATAGTGAAAAGAAAAAGATTGTTTTTTTTAACTTTGCTCGTTCATCATCACACAAAATTTTTTCGAGCTATTGCTTGGATGTTGGGATTTCTGCACAAATGAGAAATGCTAGAGAAAACAGATCCTTTTTAACTATGGTAGAAATAACAACAGCCAAAAGACGTACATTTAGAAAAATCAAGAACAGTCTTTCATTGTTTTGCCAACAGGGAAAAATTCAGTAATGATCAAACTTATAGTAGAAGAACGTAGAACTGCTTCTCATTTGGGCGAACAAGCACTATTAAGTTTCTTGCGAGAGAGATATTAAATATTACAAGGTAGAAACATTATGAAAGATTATGAGAAAATTTGTTGTCAAAGATTTAGTTAAGATTTCAAGGTGCACCAACACCCCTTCTTAATAACAGAATTCAATATGCTTATGTTGGATTTGATTTATTGAAAACATGATTTGCTAGAGATGGTAACGAATTATGGACATGACTGTATACCTTTGGAATATACCGAGCTATACACTTATTTTGTTTACTTCCACTGAATGCATTTTCTATTCTTATAGATTTATTTCTAGAAGAGAAACAAATAACTTGAACTTGAAAATAGGAGTAGAATGGAAGCCAATTCCAGTTACCGTCTTTTGATATAGTGGTTGGTGGGAAAGGTTGGTCATAGTTGTGAAAGATATTCTCAGGAAGATCTTAGGCCGAACTTCATTTACTTAAGAAGAGTTAACTACGATTCTTTCTGATTGCAAATTAGTGGTACATTCTAAACCCCTAACTTATATCTCAGAACAGAAGAAATTGAAGAGCTGTAAGTGGTAGGTATGAATCATATCTACATTGATGGTTCTAATACAGGATGCGGAATATACTCCAAATCATTAAACCTTCTCATAAAATGGACTATGAGCAATAGTGTCAGTGTAGTTCAAACAAACCTCACGGGGATTCTCAAAGTAGCAAAAGAAATGAATATCACTGGAAGGAACATGCTCATTTATAAATATAGGAGACAAGCACTACTCACCCTGAACAAACCACGAATTTTTAAAGATTAGTACTAGAATGTCATGAAGCTTTGGCCGAAATATCTATCAACAATGTGGTCACCTTAAGATGAATTAAAGGTCACGCCACATCGAAAGGTAACCATCTTGCTGAATCACTGGCCTAGGAGGCAGCCAACCAAATACTTTTTGGACCTGGCCCTTCTATTGGCCTGATAAAATCGGTAATGAGAGACTTAATTAAAGAACATTCTCTTATGAAATTCAAGGAAAGATGGGATAAATCTATAAATTGCAGAGTTGCCAGAATCTGCGCCTTGTCACATAGATACACATCTTCCACTAAATGCTTTTTTCATTCTTATAGATTTATTTCTAGAAGAGAAACATAGGTATTATTAGAAAATTTGGATTGAGATAAAATAAGAAATTAGAGCCTGGAATTGAAAATATAAATACAATGGAAGCTAATTCCCTTTACCGCCTTTTGATATAGTGGTTGGTGAAAAAGATTAGGTAAAGTTGTGGAAGATATTTTCAGGAAGTTCTTATGGCAAGCATCATTTACTTACCAAGATTCTTTGATTGCGAATTAGTCGTAAATTCTGGAACTCTAACATATATGAGAGAAGAAAATTCTGATTTGATGGCCCTGACTCCAGCTATGTTTTTACATGAAGGAGTTTCCTGATATAGATGCAACAGAAGCTTCAAGTATTACGAATCATTATAATGTGTAGATATAGGATGAAACTTAGAAAGCAATATTTACAACGGCGCGTTTCATATTGAATATCTTGGACAATTAAAGTTATTTTCGAATAACACAAATATACGAGAAAAACAAGTTGAAGACGTTGTTTTAATTAGCAGCGATAACAAAGAAAGAATTAACTGGCTTATAGCTTATGTCCAGGAGTTTATACCAGGAAGAAATAAAAAGAACCGTGTTGCCATTTTACAAACTGCCATCTATTGCAGTACGATATTTGCAAAGATTGTATCTGCTCGAACTAAATTGTGAGATTTTAAATACAGAAGGTTTTGCCCAAATATTAAAAGAAGATTAGGTAAAGAATTCTGGCAAAGGGAGACCATTCCATTTGATGTAGTTACCAAAAGAAGTGGAAAACAAAGTAAAACCTCCAACTAGATTTGTCCCAGAATGTAAGTAACTTAATTTTCACTACGAATGGTATAAAAAATAAAGTGAGCGGATGTTAAAACAGAGTATAGAATGCAGGAGAAACATTCTACGTTTCAACAATTGGTGTTTTAATATTTTTAAAATGTTCATTTTTCATTCATCAATTTAATGCAATGTTGCGTAGTTTGATATTATATTTATTAATTTTGGTCTCTGCAGTTTATTCCATTCAATATCACCGCGTAGGTGTCCTATAGTTATTTTTAACGAGATACATCGTAGATTGGTGACGGCTACGATATTCCACCATAGGTCAGGCCACCAAAGGTTTAGCAACTAGCGTTTAACCATCTAAGACTAGCAATGAATGGCGGTAGATAAGTGAGTGAATAGGAAAGCAATATGACCTTAAAATAGTGGTACAATAAATCGCAGGCTACACTGACGTCACGCTTCAAATAGACTACGGTGATAGCACAACAAAAAATGGTTCAGCATAAAAAAAAAGTTATCGAGTTGCAGCAAATATGTTCAAAATAAACATTAATATGTCGTGTAAACCTGTAAAATTGTTTGATTTTATTATAGACTGATGGGATGTTATTATATTGCGACCTTTAAGATCTATAGGCCTCTTTCTGTCGATAGGACAGTCAAGGACTCCTGGATTACAGCCTAAAAGATGCACTGTGAACTGCATGATTTTTGATTGCAAACCAGATAGATTCTCAGCTCTATTCTTGCAGCCTGTAGTTTTGCATCTCTGCAGTATTAAGGTTTTCCACAAAACTGTACTTCTTTCTCATTTTGTCTTAGGGAATATCCCAAGTATCTAGGGTCCTGGAGCTACCTGTCTGATTGCTCCGTTCCTGATCAATCTATATCTTGTGTTTCTTGCTACGATCTATAATATTAAAAAGCAGAGGCATAAGTTTAGTCTAGTCTTTGGTACCATTCAGATATTAGCTCTGGTAGTAGCTTTAAGATCTATCTTTATCATCAAAATTTTTAAATAAAATTCTGGATCATTTTATGGAGCAGTCAGTTCTAGGCTATTTTTCTAGTTCCAAAAATTCCCAAGGTAAACTGGCAGTTGCAGAAGAGTTGAACAGACAAGTTTAGAACCCGATTTTTAATAATAAATTTGCTAGAATAGACAACATGCTTAGAAAAATGTTACAAACATCACATATCCAGGGTGTCCCGAAATTAGACGTTCATATTTTAACAACGTAATCTACATCCTAAAATAGGAGTTAAAGTTTTTATAAACATAGGTCCGAAAACGTTTCTTTTCCGAGATACAGGGTGTTTAAAGTGAAGTCCTGATGACACACTTTTGTAAATATTTTCTAAACGTTTAAAGATAAGTCAAAATGGATTCAGGGGAGCTCAAAACGTAAAAATCCGTCGAAAACTCGAGGTCGAAAAAAATCATGATTCATATACTTTCCTTATATCTGTATACAGATAGGAAAGTAAAAAACAGCTGTATTATTTTGATCAAGTTATAACAGATGTTGTTTGTTACATCAAATGGAAGATGTTTCTACTGAAAGTCTTTTAACGATTTTGGATTTTCTCCATTTTTTTCCCGCAGTAAATAATAATCAGGAACAACATTCTACTAAAAATTGAGGTTTTATGAATAAATTCCTATTACATAATCCTATTTTTTCTCGAAAGCAATATTTATGAACACAATGAATTATTCCTGTCGAGAAAATTTATAGCAAATTCCACACCCGGTGACAAATTACAAATTCCCGTATCCCGTGCGTGTATATCTATTTACAAAAAAAATATAATTGCTTATATATCACTCACCTAAGCGCCCCATTGAAAAGGCTAGCCATAAACAATCCCAAAATGCCTGGCAAATAGCTGAAACGATCCTCCACGAAAAATGGAAGGACTTCGTCATATTTCTGAATGTATCCTGCCGACAGTGGATCACAGCTGGCGTAGACCGCGTAAACCACCATTCCTACCACCCAGGATAAACTGAATAGTACGGTGATTACGGGGATGTTCCACATCATGGTCCTGTAGATAGAATTAAAAAAAATAATAATAAGAAGAAAAACGTTTTTGATTATTTTGAATATACTATTTGTTTTAAACATGATTTACAAAGTTGTGGAAAACGTCTCCATTTTTGCCTTAAAATATCCTAATTTGGATATATTTTGTAGATCATCTGAGATCTGATTAAAGAGTTTTAGACTCAAGTAGTCAAAACAGCGCTGACCTATAGTTTTCTCTCGCTAAGTTATACGTTTTTTCTTTGTTTCTTAGTTAAATAAGAACCCTGTATAAATATAATAATGGTGTAGCGCAATTTCAAGTTAGAAACACTGTATATCATTTTAAGTAATTTAAAAAAAATGATATACTAAATCACGAACCTTTCTTATAATATCAACATTTTTCAATTGACTTTAGTTTTGTTTTATAAGAAAATATTGTATATAAGATCAATCAACTGTAAATTGGACCTGAAGGTCAGAACCATCAGAAATATTTTTCATTTATGAAAACTTTCTACATCAAACAACCCAGTACATACCACTGATTTACTATGATAGATTGGCGAAAAAAGAGAAACACGTAATACCCTTTTCCAGGACAGAAATATATTTGATCAGGAATCCGAAAAAAAAAACAAGCTAACATTGAATAACAAGTTAACAAAGTTTCAATCCCGCCCTTTGTCCAATTTATGCATTCACGAAAAATACATTACAAAGGCTGAACAAATTCGCCCTTGTTCGGGAATTTTTATGTACATATATAATAAACATCAATCAAATAGCCTACAGTCGTTTCTAGATACGAGGAGTTGCAGAAAAATGCCAAGTGAAGAAATATAAAAAATAAGTGGTGACTTCTATTCACAGAATAGTGAAAAAAAAATTACCGAAACATTTTGCTGCTTTGCTCAATTATCACTAGTAATCTTCCTAGAGCTTGAATTATTACCGGAAATTTTTTTCGAGTACACGATTTTTTTAAAAAATCGTGTACGAGGAAAAGTTTCCGGTTATTAATTCAAGATCATGGGAATTCGATAAGAAAATTTCACACCTAAAAAATTTAAAAGTAATTAATTTTTATTTGACATTAAGATTATATTAAGGACATGAAGAAGAGAAGACGAGTTTTGGTCTAGTTAGTCATGAGTGTTTGTTGGTATGTCAAAAATTATTCCACGTCAAAATTTGCTGTCAGTTTATGAGGTCCAGTGTAGTATCTATAACAAGTGAGTAAAAATGTCGCGTTTTGGAAACGACAATCAAGAGAATATTAGAAGATAAGTCGAAAAGTTAGTGCCACAAAATACAAAGAGGAGTAAAGAAAGTGCGTGGAGACAATTTTTGCAGTTTTGTTCTGAGAAATCTTATGATATTAACAGTCTTTCTGTTTCGATTGAAGCACTGAGTCAAATATTAAAGGACTATGCATTTAATATGAAGAAAAAAAGCTCATGTGATTATAAGGAGGGTGTTGTAAAAGTAATGTGGAATAGCACTGCAAAACAGTTAAAAGAGATGTTTTTTAATAATTATAATATTAAATTTGACCCACTTACTGATCCCGAATTTGCATCTGCCAGAGCAGCGCGTGATGCAATGCAAAGGAAATTGCAGAGGGATCCTGAAAAAAGAAAATCAAGTTCGCTGGCATTATCTAACGACGAATTTAACAAAATTATAGAAACTTGCGGTGAAGATTGTCCACGAAATTTTTTTTATGTCGCATCCATTGAGCTAGCCTAGAGGGGAGGGGAAGGGTCATTAGCTTGTATCCAGTATTTAACAGAGGAAATTAATAATGAGGGTAATTTAAGTGGAAGGATAGAATATATTACAGTTTTTTCTAAAACAGCTCAAGTGGGTTCTAAAAAATTATCTGTTAGTAAGTGGCTAGTTACAAATAATAATAACTCAGAACTTTGCCCCGTTCGTTTATTCAAAAAGCTATTAGAAAAAAGGGGTAACAACATAAAAACTGAAAGATTATTTTTAACCCCTAATCCTACTTGGAATCAACCTGATTCTAAGGGATGGTACAAGAATTGTCCGGTAGGAAAGAATACGATATCGACTTGGTTTAAGTCGGCAGCATCTAATATTGGTATCGACATAAAAAGAAAAAAAGTGACAAATCATTCGGCCAGAGCGACAGCTGTTTCTAACTTAGCTAAAAAAGGAGTTAGTGAGCAGCAACTTATAAAAATAACTGGACATAGCAGCAGCCAATTAATTAAGCCATATCTCCAGTTAGATTCTGAACATCATCAAAATATAATTGAGTCCATGAGAAGTAACTTCCCTAACACCTCTTCGACAACCGTTTTTTACAAATCAGTTGAAATTAAAGACAACACGTTTTCTGAAGGTTCAAATCACCCAACAAATAATTATAATAACTGTATTTTCAATATTACCAATAATAACAAATAGAATAAGCTAAAAATTAAAAATAGTAATATTAATTATTTTAATAATTATAATTTTGTATTGAGACTAATAAATAATACTAACGTTTGTTTAAAGTTATTATTATGAATAAAATTTTGCATAATAGAACAGTTGGACTTTATTTTTTTATAATTCAAGTGTTATAATTGCAGGTACAAAGTATCTCACTAAAATAGTGAAAATAATAATGTTCTACCGATTTTAGTTTAATAAATTTAGTAAAAATTGTTTCAAACAAATTTATTTTACAGTTATAACCTAAGTTATGTTCACTAAAATTGGTGGAACATTGTTTTTTTCCATTATTCAAGATAATAATTGTAATTACAAAGTATCTAAATAAAATTGTGAAAATAATAATGTTCCACCGATTTTAGTTTAATAAAATTAGTAAAATTTATTAAAATAAATGTATTTTACAGTTATAACCTAAGTTATGTTCACTAAAGTAGGTGGAACGTTTTCCTTTAATTAATTTGTACCTAAAATATGCTAAGCTGTAATTGCAGTTTTCAAATACCTGCATGAAACAAATAAAAGCTTAGGTGGCTTTGGAAAAATTGTAGACAATTATTTTGCTGACAGTTTAACTAACTGACAGTGCAGAATAATAACCTATATTTTGGTAAAGTTTTTGCGTCATTATTAAAAAATCTTGGTAAATCGAATTACTATGAAAAAAGTTAAAAAATATACATTATGCAAACATTGTGAACAACTCTGTGATCTCAAAGTGTATCAAACAAATTTAAAATATTTGTCGTACCTCATTGATGAATGCAGTTTGGAGTGCAGTTTACAAAATCCCGAGGAAAATCTATTTAGTACAATACAGAAGAATTTACTCAATGTGTCTACCAAGTTTTCTCGGATTTGTAAAGTTAAGTTTAACCGAATTGTTTCAAAATGTTATATTTATTTACTAAAGCATAGACATTTAGTTAATACCAGTGTCCTTTCTTACTCACCACTGAAGAAAGAAGATTTTTTAATTGATTTTGAAAAACATTTAATAGATGTAATTAATAATAAAGAAATTAAAAAAAAAAAAAAACAAAAGAAGTAGTAATTGTTTAATTTTGATTTGCACAAAAAGTAAACAAAAGTCTTATATGAATCAAGCCCATTACAAGTGTCATTATTTTGACATAAAAATTTCCACTTATTAATTTGAAATTTTTAAAAGAAAAGTATCATTTAGCTAGTTTTGAATCATCATGCCCCAATACAAAAAGATAACCATACTTTTGGCGATGTCCATGTTAAAATTGCTTGTTTTAGCAATATCCTAAATTATGCTTGCTATATAAATCTCTAAAACTTAAATTACAAACGATTTAGTAAGGTTATGTTTGAGTCATATAGTGCAGCAATTTGAAACTATATACAACAAACAATATGGCGAAGTAGGCTTGACCCTAAACTTGTTTTGTTGAATACAGCTGAAACAGCTTAATTATTATATTACAGTTGATTTATTGCAATATTATTTTATTAACTTGATTCTATCTTAAAATAACTTCCTAAATCCTCTGAATAATCGCTAACAAAAATCCAAGACACTTTTAAAGCCAAATTTAATGTCGATTTTTACTAGTTTATAAGACCAAACCAATGCTAAAAAGCCAAACTTAGCATTTTTATCATTTTTTAAATAGTTTTCTTCACATAAATTATTAGAGAGTTATTGGAAATGTACTTAAGGTCAGTCCCTATTAGTGCTGCTCTTATTTTGACATCTAAGCATGCGCAGATCGTTTATGTTCTAAAACTGACTTTATTAAAGATTGTGCCTGTCCTTAATTGTTGATGTTAAAGAGCAGCAGGTAATGGCGATATTATAGCTTTAGGGTGCGCTTGCCGACATTCATATACGTTCGAAATTTTTTAATATTAAATATTTAATATCATCGTCATCTAAACCTTCTAAAATTATTATTTCTAATGCCTCTTCAATATTATGTACAATTATAGACAACAAGAAAGATGAACTGTAATTTAAAGTTTTTTAAAATGAGGTTAGAAATAGGTATAAGGACAATGACTCTTAATGTCAAAATTTCTGGTTTGCAATAAGTCTTATTTTAGCATGAAATTTATTTGCCTCTAATTACGTTGTCACTTTTGTGGCTGACGTTATAGAAATTTGCAATATCTCTCTATAATGTTATTGTACAGTATGGTTCAAATGAAAGGAATACATTCATTATAATGGAAGTAGCTGGTTTTTCGAAAAAATGCTCGGACAGGTCAATTTTGTTTACTTAAAGCGCAATTTTTTAAATAAAATTCAATTTTCCCCCACTTCCCATTTTTGGGCAGTGACGTCATTGACAATTTTTTTAAATAGCAACCCCAATTTTTTTTTCTTGATTTTGATAGATCTGCAATTTCCTACTCGGAAACATAATATTTGAAATATCTGACATTACAATTTTTTTTGAAAAAAAGTCATTTCAAGATCAGATACATAAATTGTATGTTATTTTGAGAAACAATAAATTAATAACAGATAATTATTTGTAATTAAATGCTTAATCTAACAAAATAATAAAAAAAATAATAATAAAAAGAATTTGTGAAATTGTCATTAAATTCGTTTTATTATTATTATTTTTTTAAATTAAGCACTTAATTACAAATAATTATCTTTTATTAATTTATTGTGTTTCAAAATAACATAAAATTTATGTATCTGATCTTAAAATGACTTTTTTTCAAAAAGAATTATTATGTCAGATATTTCAAATATTACGTTTCCAAGTAGGAAATTGCAAGATCTATCAAAATCAAGAAAAAAAAATTGGGGTTGCTATTTAAAAAAATTGTCAATGACGTCACTGCCCAAAAATGGGAAGTGGGGGAAAATTGAATTTTATTTAAAAAATTGCGCTTTAAGTAAACAAAATTGACCTGTTCGAGCATTTTTTCGAAAAACCAACTACTTCCATTATAATGAATTTATTCCTTTCATTTGAACCATACTGTATATTTTTATCTATAATTATAGATCGTCAGTGTGTGGGCAAATATTCATATCAGGGGCCCTATTCTCGAATGTCTATTTCTAAATGTCACACGCGACATTGATGAAATGTCGATTAAGAATGCAAAAACGTATTCTGGAATGGCGAATTCGACATTTGTTGGTAGACATAAAGTCGAGTGGTATTCAACCAGTCGATATTGTAATGTCGCATGCCTTTTTAAATATAATGTTATGAGTGTCGTGACAGTGACAGTTTATATTTATTTTTAAGAGAAATGAAAATAAGTAATGTACAAATTGTTTTTGAAAATATATGAAATGATTATTTACAATTTCTCCTAATTTATCAATTATTAGTCCTGTCCAGTATCGTATTGGGCCGTCGGTGTACTGGCAAAAGACCGGTAGGCCTTCGTTCAAGCTGTGGGCTCTCTTTCAGACAGTGGGCCCTCATTTGGGCATTGGGTCCTCGTTCAGGCACTGAGCCTCAATCAGTGGACCTAATTCAGTGAGCTTAAGTCAGTGGAGCTCAGTCTGTGGACCCTTGAGAATAAGAAATGCGAAATAAACCTTGGAAAAAATGAGGATGGACACAGTAGTTCACCTCTAACAGGTCCCGAAGAGGCACAAGAATCTCTGAGTGTGAAGCAAACAATAGAAAGAGGGATAAGCTGCAGGCAGGCAGTGCTACGGCAAACGCCACCCTTAGCAAACCCCTTCACTCCAAACAAAACAAAAGAGGCCTAATCAAGTCCCTAACAGCGACGCTAGTTCAGCCTCCACAAGAGGCTCCACACGACGCAACTAGGGACAAGAAAAGAGATAAAGAGGTAAGGAAGGTGAAAAACCCAGACAGGACCACAAAGTTCTGTCTGGGATAAGCTACAAGGATGCAGCTACGATCCACCTGAAAGTTGCTATAATAGACAAGGATAACCCTTACGGTAAGATAACTACCGAAAGAGAAATCCTTGTCAAAAAGACACTGATAAGAGAGCTGGACAAAACAATCTTGTCCGCCTCCTGCAGCAAAACCAAGCCACCCACATTCAGGTCTTGGTCGCACTCTGGTGAAATTATCAGAGTAACCTGCAGCGATGACCTGACGTTGTAATGACTAAAAACCAAGGTATTAACCTTAAAAACATGGGAAGGAGCAACACTCGCAGTTGTAAGGATGGACAAGCTCCCTAAGCTTACCAAAGCCTCTCACTGGATCCTAGGGGAAGCGCAAGCTGACTTTGATGAAAAAGAGGTTGCGCTTAGGCGAGTTGAAGGGCAAAACCCAAACTTGCATGTGGCGAAATAGTGCACCTTCCACCATGAAATCAAAAAAGACCCTAAGGGCCATCTTTTCTTCTTCGGCATCGGAGACGAAGACATGGGAACCCTAAAGGCCAAATCAATGAGGATGAGCTATGCGTTCACCTCATTGACTATAAGGCCAAAGGTCGAAAAAGAGGCTGAAGCGGGGCCCATTAAGTAATTATCTACTGCAATATACTCGTATTGTATATTTCTATTCAATGTTGTCAGATGTTACCATTCGCCAAATATGTCACCGATTTTAAAATCTCTATTTGTCTTTGAGAATACCGATAGTGTCAGTCGATCGACATTTTAATAGACATTAGCAGTAGACATTATGACTAATGCGACATTTTTAATAGACAGTCGAGAATAGGGCCCCTGAGCCTAGAGTTTTGATTGTGGAATTATATACCGATTCATCCATCGTACTAGGAACATGGTAAACATGATGACCAATTGACGCTTGTCCGCAACTGTCACATTCAAATTTTGTGCTTTTATCGCGGGCGAAAAGTATTTCTTTAGATTTAAAATGAATGTTTACGAAATTGCTGAGAAAGTACAAATTGTGAAATGGCATTTTCAAGGCAACACAATTCGACAAATAAGCGGTTTGTTTGAGGCGACATTTCAAAATAGGCCCATACCATTACTCTCAACAGTACATCGTATTGTTCAAAATTTTGAAATTCATGGTTGCGTTTCTCCCAATGAACATAAAAAGGCTCGAGTTAATAATAATCAGAATGAACAAGAAGATAGGGATATTATGATTTGTGCAACTGTGGAAGAAAATCCGATGATATCTCAGAGAGAGGTTGCGGAAGTTGTAGGTTCCAGTGAAACCACAGTAAATGGAATTTTAAAAAAACATGGATATTGATATCTTATAAAGTAAGAAAATGCCAAGAAATTTATGAAACTGACAATATCAGACGAATGGAATTTAGCGAGGCAGTAATGGATAAAGTTAACAATAACAACAATTTTCTTTACAATGTTGTGTTCACCGATGAGTCGACTTTTCCATTACTTGCCAGGCATAATCCATCCCAAGTCCGATATTGGTCTCGAGAAAATTTACATACATTTGTAACAGTTCGCACGCAGTTCCCGCAAAAGTTGAATGTTTGGATGGGAATACTAGGTGAAAATGTAATCGGTCCTTTTTATATTGAGGGTAATTTAAATAGTGTTAAATATTTGGATTTACTCAGACACCATATTGTCCCTGAGATACGGCGATTGGCAGGAACTCGATTTATCAATATTTGGTCTCAACAAGACGGATGTTCTGTGCATATTTGTGTGACGGTGCAGCACTTTTTAAATGAAACATTTCCCAACAGATTATTATCAGGGAAAGGTACAATTCTGTGGCCAACTAGATCGCCGGATCTCGCACCCTGTGATTTTTTTTGTGGGGTTATTTAAAGTCTCAGATATACAAATTCAGGGAAGAAAGAGCTAACGACTTAGATGAGCTGAAAGTGAAAATTTCAGAAGCCGTTCAACTTATTAGTCCCAATATGTTGGATGAAGTAAGGCGATCATTTTACGATCGCTTGGGGTACTGTCTTGCCCAAGAAGGAGGTCTATTTGAGCACCTATTACATTAAAAATAAATTCGTGTCCTTTTATTATTGATTGTAATTTATTATTGTCTATTGGATTCCATTTTATAATTTTTATTTTTTTGTAATTTTTTAATCTTAGTTTTGTATTTTTTTTAATCTTAGTTATGTAATTTTTTAAAGTTCGTTTTGTTTTTTTTTAATGTTCAATATTTGTTCTCTATTTTTTAATGTTTGTATTGAATTTTTTTCCTTTTGAAAACAAAATCAAAGTTGTTTTTTATAAATTTTAAACTGTTGCTGTTCTTACTATTGTGGAGGGTCTCAAAAAAAGAGAAAAAAAAAAGAAATGAAAAAAGAAAATGAAAATTAATAAAATAAAAAAAAAACGTCGGCGCCGAGATTCGATCCTACCTCTATCCGCGTAGGTAGACTGTAAGTACAACACCTTACCCACTGCGCTACATCAACAACTATTAAAGTTATTCAAAATTTTGTCTATTATTACAAATTCTGGTTGATGATTGCATTATTAAATTTCGCTATTTTCATGTCTGAATATGTTATGTTTGTTCTTTATCTTCATTTATTTATAAAATATTCATTAATACTCAACTCTGTCGTGAAATGTAAAAAGTTATTCCAAATATGTCACATGCGAAAGCTTTGGAATGACAGTAGCGGACAAGGGTAAATTGGTCATCAGTTTGACCGTGTTCGTAGTATCGTGGATGGATCTGTACCTACCCATGGTATAAAAAATAAAGTACCTACCTATATATTATTTCTATATGATTTACCTTGTTACTTGTTTCTGCGAGTCCATGCTGCAATACCTTTGAACGAAATTTTGTTGACATCCAAAAATTGAAACTGACATAAACAGTTGTCCAATTATGGCCGAGGTAGTTGTAACTCTTGTAGTCAGATCAAAGCTAAAACTGAAAAGGAAAATTAATTAATTATGTTTGAATATTACGAAAATTAATTAACCCTTCAGATTTTTTAAGTTTAAAATCATGGTTTTTTTGAAAACTGATTTATAAATGGAGGTATTTAATAAAAACGTTTTGCTTTTTAGTTGTTATGATGTCTTAGGCTATTTGTTTTATTTTTTCAAATATGTATAATATTAATATTATATTAGTATTTGATGGTTCTATCTAAGGTGCTCATCATTATAACTGGTATGTATGTTTCTAGGTTACTAAGAGATACATACATTGTCTTTTCTTAATTAATTGACAATATAACACCATTTTTGATGTTTTATTTTGTTTCAGAAATTATTTTTAGTATTTCATTTAGTTTTCTGATATATTTTGTTTTTTTCTATCCGCTTTGAGTATATTATTTTTGTGTTTGCTCAATTTAAAGATTTTATGTTCGGAAATATTAGCAATAGAACTAAAAATAAATAATAAATTTTAAATTTTGTCTCAAGTGTTTCAAAAACTAATTGATTAATTTTATAAATAACTGAACCTTTAGGTACTTGTGTATTTGTGTAAATAAACATATTAAAACAGTAATGTAAAAGACAAAGAAGACATAAGGTATTAACCACAAAGTTTTATCTTTTAAGCTTAGCAAACCAGTATTATAAATCCAAAAATATCTAAATCAACATGTCAAATTTGGTACACGAATGGCTTTGCCTTTTTCGAGAAGTTTCTAGCGCCCCGAAAAGTTCACTATAATCTCTCGCCGGACTGACCCCTATTGGGAAATAATTGTTTTTACCAAGCAGAGGGATTTTAATCAAATTCAAACAGTAAATTTTATAATTAAACACTTCTGATGCAAATGCGTTGACTCGATTTGCTAACCGGAATCTCTCTGGCCGGATTTGATTTCTGGAAACGCCAGTGGCGCCTTCGAGAAAGGGATAAACAACGTGCGAGCTTAGAAACTTTTTTTTAATTGGAGATGACTGATATAAGTGATGAAAACTTTGTTGAGAATCCGCTAAAATCACATTTCGAAACGCATTTTTATTTATTTCTCTATTACTTTTACGTTTTGTTTTTGTGTTGGCATTACTGTAAGTCAGTCTGTCACTAATTGAGAAGTATTGTATGTACATTTGTAGGAATATAAGAAGAAATAATCCACGACCATTCAATAAAGTATCAAAACGGAATTGGGAACCACAAAAGAGAAACATTAAAAGGTTATGGGCCGAGGAATTAAAAGCTCACAGAAAAGTAACGTTAAAAGTGCCATTATCAAGGGAAAACGTGTACTAGATATTTTATGTAGAAATATAGAACTTTTAGATGGAGAAATTTACTCTTATTGGAAATTTGAAGATCAAATTATTTTAGTAGAAAACAAAGCGAAATCATTGAGAGGCCATTTGGTAACAGATTTCCAGCTGGAACTTTTAAGAAGAAAAGCGTGTATACAAAATGTGGAGTTTTAGAAGAGAAGTTTGAAAAGAAAGGTTTACTCAGCCAACTATTCTTAAAGAGTAAATTGTTATTATTAAAATTAAATGAAGATGAATAACTAGAAATACGTAATTCGAAGAAAAAAATATGTTAGATATAAAGAATTTTGAATTTGTAAGGAATAAACTGTTGATGGAATTTGAAAAGAAGAAGAATATAATAGGACCTAAAGGGTAAGACAATCTTTATTAAAACCAACAAACGAATTTCATCCTACTAGCGTCAAGCCGACATATTACTGGGGTTAATACATCTTTAGTAATGAGGCTTCCATACACTAGTAGGATAAGTAATCAAACACAACAAACTTCATCCCAAACACATTATTCCATGCCATGGTGGCGAACCGCAAAAATGCTTAAACCGATTCTGCTGCTTCAGCATCGAATCAGCTCGGCCTTGGTCCACAGATCACTTTCATAGCATCCTTTCCACCCTGTTTAACTTCAAGTGTTTGTTCAACCTCTTCAAAAATCTTCTCTCTAGTAAACATGACCATTAAACCTTTTCTATTTTCAAACTTCAAAAACCCTATTTCTTCCAAGAAGACCCAAACTACATCCTCAACCGACATTACAACAGATAACAAGCAACATCGACTCAAAAAAGCCACAGAAAATATCGAACTACTTAAACCACCCTCTCACTCTACGTTATCCGAAACATCCCCACTGAATATTCTTCTTAAAAAATCTGTTTCAACATATTAAACACCAACGATCTATTCAGACATAACTTGGCCTATGTTAAAGCTAACTTAAACCAGTCTTCATAAACACATCGACTAAATCCCCTACCACCCCCTAGACACTCATCCGACAACGGATTGGTTATAACTTATGGTTATAACTTATTCTCAATCCAAAAGAAACCCACAAACAACCAGAATGACAAATCAGATCCTTCCGTCCCCCCAATTATCTCTTGTCATTCGCCAGGTTGATGAGCATATTACTCTAGAAGGATTCACTTCATTCATCAGGTTGCTGATCCGCAAGAGATTTGGCATAAGCTGCCGAAAGCACAGCTTCAGGATGTGCCAAAAAACCCACCTGTCTTACTAAAGGTCAGCATCACAGGTTAGCTGATTGTAAAAAAATCAGAGGTGCCAAAAGGCCCAAATTGCCGCGGTAACCACCCTATCTACCCACTTGCTTGCTCAGAAAGTAGTCCCAATTACCCTCCTCCAAACCACCGCTCCCACCCCCATTGAGCTGACATCACAGATCTAAATTCCAATACAAATTTTATCGACATTATAATGAACCTACAACCTAATTGTCCAGAACCCTTTTACGAAACTACTCGGGTCGCTAGTCCCGGCCATTTTTAGCCATTCAAGCACCATAACTGGTAATTTTTTCGTTATCTTCAATAAACTTCGATCTTTGGAACTGTAAATTTCTGTGGCCTTGCTCGGAAGAGCCCTTTGATCAAAAGCACTTTAAATTTAGACAACCTTTAAATCCGTTCATTAACTTAATGTCTATTTGATTTTCATTTAAACACTTATATTCATGTATATCATTGATGGACATTGAGTTCGATCTTGTTTCAGAATAGATCGTCAAAGTAGAAGTCGTCAGGGGTACTGAAAATGGCTTCCAGGTATGTCTTGTGTACTAAGGCTTTCTCTTCGGGAGCTGTGTGTATTTCACTGTCGATTTCGATGTGGAAAGATGTTTTGGATTTTTGACCAGTGATGATTCGGAATTTATCTCAAAACTTGGAATCATCTTCATGTTCCTAATTAGAGATGGTATTGATCCATTTTTATTTGTATAATTTTATTTGGGGCCTAATCAGGGCTTCGGTTTAGACGACAGGATCATTGGTATGGATACATTGTCTATATAATCGGCGTTTTTGGAGTATTTAATTTAGAATGAATTGAAGGGAGACTTTTTGTGATGTGCTGATGGAAGTAATTGGAGCTGAAGTTTAGACACCGTGGGTGATTATGATTTGAACTTCAGTTACCAGATAATCGATGTCCTGTGAGGAATTACGATGGCGGTGCTCTTGGATGTTTGCAGAGATAGTTACCTGAAATAGTGACCAATCTGCTTTCTTGAGATTATGAATTGTAGCTCTAGGTGGATCGTGGTAAAAGACAGATGAACATAATTAATTGTCTCTCCAATGAAGCATCTATCAGCATCAGTTCAGTATAGGAATCTGTCAGAAGGATATGGTCAATAATAAATGATCCTAGTTGAGACACAAAGGTCGCAAGTTGGTTTGAAGCTCTGAAGATGGGGTAGTCGATGAGTAGATTAACTAGATGGGTACCATTTGGATTTGAGGCATGATCTTCGAACATAGTATGTCTGGAGTTCAGGTCTTAAATTAAACGCCACGAGAAAGTGATGATAGAAAGTCTATTAGTAGGGTGGAGATGATTTGGTCTGGGTGGTTGTAGTATGAAAATATCGTTGATGTATTATCTATTGAAAGATCTATTGCGATTAAATTAAGATCTACTAGATGAGCAGGGACACTAAATATAAAATGGAAATTATTTTTTAATTAACAAAGGTTTTTCATGGCAAGTTTGGGATTTATTTTTGTAAACAGTTTAAAACTATGCGAGACAAAAAGAATAATTCAAAGCCCAAATAAAATTGATTAAATGTAATAGCAGTCTAAAAATAGTAACAGAATTCTGAGAAACATTGCTCATTTAACCGATTGTATAGCTCTAATAATAACTGAGACATGCAGCAACAATCTGAGACATAATGTAATGATATCAAATACCAATTATCCATCAACTCCTTACTATGGTGACAATATCAAGATCGTTAGAATTTAAGAATTTTAAGATCAAGATTAAGAAATATTGCACATGTGAAGCATTAGACCTAGCACTAGCAAATATAATTTGTAAAAGTAGGGACATTCAGAAAACTAGCATAGAGTGTAATGCGTCTTCGCTATTCCAGCTAGAGATCCAGAAAAAGAATCAAGCACGGAAGGTATGGAAAGGATGAAAAGCAGAAATAAATTTAAGAAATGAATGTAACGTATTTAAAGTGTGTAGGTAGTTTTATTAATATTAATAAAACTCAGTCAAAATTAGTCTTAGCGCTTTCAGCCGGTTAGGCCATCATCAGAGACTCTACAAAGATAAAAAAACGGAGCTATAACAATAGTCAAATCGAGATATTCCTAAACATTGAATAAAAAATAAAAAAACATTAAAACTTACTTGTCAGTAAATATAGAAGGTGCATGAAAATTAATTATTTAAAATTTTATTAATTAGATTCAAAGGGCTGCCACATTACGGTCCCTGGTTCTCAACCATAACTTGAGGCTTGAAACGAAGCAAAACCAATCCTAACAGGTGGTTGAAAATTGAGAAGAAGCGTGGGGGCTCATCCCAACACGTGTAAATAAACTGTCTCAACCTTTCCAAGGAGGAGAGATGGAAAAAACTGAACTTCAGCTTGAAGCCAGCTGCCCTTTCAAAATAGCTACCGTGA